GCAGAAAACACAGCAAAAGTTTCCAAGGGGTGCAAACATCTCTTGAAAGATAGGAGGAAAATATTGGCTCATCGGGGTCTGTCTTAGGAAGCATGCTCCAGCAAGATTACTTAGAGTACAATCAAGGGACATTCTTTCCCACTCTGTCAGAGGAGCATTCCGGACATAACAGAAAGAACTGGAGTGTGGGACAGGAGACAGGGTGCAAGTCAAAGGGCGTGAGAGAGAGGGTGTGCTGTATTATCACTGTCAATACTAAACCTAAAGTGCCAGGTGCCTGGTAGATCCTGAGAAAGGGACTGAGCTCTGAGGAGACTGACAGTAACATCAGGTGAGTCCTTCATCTCAAAGGTCTATGGACACTGTTCAGGGCTGAATAAAAGGCCATTTTTCTAAGGTAGGAAACAGAGAGAAGAGCGGGCAGGTGGCTGAAAAATTAGTAACAGTGTTATTTTTTTCCCTAAATATTAGGGCAGAGAAGTTCAGAGCCACTAAAATATGAAATCGAATTGATATTATCTAGAAAGTTGCATAGACCAGAAGCACAAAGATTCACAGTCATTAAACCAGCATTCCAGAGCAGGGAGACGGGTGGGGTGGGGTGTGTGGCCAGCAAAGGGATTTTTTCTCACCTGGGGCCCTCAGCCGTCAAAAGTCCAATAACATGAAAGATGACATTTTTGTTTATTACAGAGCTAAAGTCAATTTTAGGACTGTGAAATATGACTTTAATAAATGAATACACAAACCCATAAGGTCCAAAGCCCAGGAATGTTAAAATCCGAATTTGACTCAGTCCACAGGATCTAACCACAGGAGTGGAGCCTGAAGTCTTTTGCTCCCATCTTTGAGTCTCTTGAGGGGTCCCCTTTCTCCTTAGTCTACCCCTGAGCGTGCGTATTTGAGTGTTTGAATCTGGGCAGACACAAGAATTGAGGTGTCTGTGTGTGCTCAGCTGTGCTTGTGGCCACGTGAGTGCCCAGAAATGGCTGAGTGTACACAGGGGTGACATGTGCATTTTCCAGCGCTGCTCTCAACACATGAGTGATTCGTCCTCACAAAGCTCAGAGCCAAGGGAATGTGAGGGTGATAGAAGCTGTTTGGAAGTCTCTGGGCAAGGCTACCGTCCTAAGAAAAAACCCAGAGGCCACAGAAGGCAAGCCCACGGACTCTGTCGTTCTTCAGGGATGGTTTCCTCCCTTCCTTTCTTTTCCCTCTACTTCTGCTCCTTCCTCCTTCCAGTCACTTCAAACCTGACATGCCTCTCCATATATGATCTATTTTACATTACAGAGAGACTACTTCTGGTACCCACCTGTTCCCCTTTCTATCTTATATGTGAGACAATTGGAACCCTACATGATAGATGATAGGGCACAGCCAACATCCCATAGTTAGAGAACAGAAGATTTCCAGAACAGATATAATGCTTCCTCAAAACAGAGGATGCAGAGCTCGGAGCTGGAGAACTCAGTCAGAATTATGGGAAATCTGATTTACTAATGATGTCTCCTCTTCTAGAAGGCTAGAGCTGCTGCCAGCCAAAACAGGGAGCTTCTGTACAAATGCATGGGATACAGAAATAGGCCTACCACAGGGCCAGGGAGATGGGAGCTCATCAAATATCCTTTCTTCCACAATCTCCATCAAAGAGCAGGGAAAATGGAGGGATGGTCCCTTTTCTGGGTCAACTATCCTGTTTCGTATACTTCAAGCCGTGACCCTCTCCTGCACCTACTCACAGCAGGCTCTAAAAAAGGTTGTCTGATTGAAGCCTAAGGCCTCAGTGGGAGTGTTTGTGAGTTTGTGGAGATAGCAGATGTTCACACTCAGTGGTACACTGGGAACACTATAGACCAGAAATTTCACTGTGGCTCGAGATTGGTCAATGTTTTCCTATGTGCTGCTGAACTTGTAATGTATCTCAGCCTCATCCACATCAGAGTACAGCAGACTAAGGCCCAAAAATCAAAACTCAGTCATCAGCCATTGCTACACGTAAAACTTTTATTGGATCAGCTACATTTATTCATTTACATATTGTGAATATCTGCTTTCGTGGCACAACAACAGAGTTAGGTAGTGATAGCAGACACTTAAGGCCCAATAAACCAAAACATTTTTTGTCTGGTGCACAAAATGGATAAGCCAAAATCACTTGTACCAACAAACATGCTCCAAATCTCTAAAGACTGTGTAATATAGTAATCCCAAATGATCCCCACAATAGACAACAATTCACCAAGATAAGGGGAATAAACTTTGGCTATCTCAGATAAATCAGGAAGCTGGGATACTACTCTCTAGAATATTACCTCTATGCTATGATGTTCACATGCTGAAGTCAGGTAAAGGTCAAACTTACATAGCAGACAGTAGATTAAATACTAATATACAGATTTCTTTCTGGCTCCCTAGAATCCTACTTGGCTAGCTCTGTTTCCTAGATAGAGATACCACAGGGTTTTCCAAAATCCTGGACCACTTCACCTTTACCAATGAGCATCTCACAGAACAACTAGTGTGAGTTCTTCCTAAGATAGCAAAAAGAACTCCCCTCATCCATGAAACTGTACAAAACTGGGGAGCTACATCCCAAGGGTGACTTAGATACCCAGCATGCGCGGAAACAACCTATGTCACACGGGTATTTTATAATGTAAATTGGTGATAAAAGCTAAGCCGAGCTGGTCAGATATAATACCCAGCCTTAATTTATGCCACACCTTGTGTATCTGTGCACTTGACTCTGGTGCACCATGAAGAGAGCCTGTGACGGGTGTGTCTTACAAAGCACATGGCGAATGTAAATGTTATAACCCTGTGAATTGCAAATACTGTGAACTCTGAAACATATTTGACACCGTGAAGCCAGATCAAGGTTTGTGGACCCGGTACTACTTAAAAACCTCTTTGCAAGGGGAGAAAAGACAAAGAGCTAAGGAGGCCAAAGGCACCTTTCTCAAGACATCTACAATAAAAAAAAATGTCCCAGTGTTAATGATACACATGTTAAAACCATTATATTCTCTTTTTAGCCACTTTTCTTGATAAGACATTACTGCTCTCACAGAGGGAGTAGGTGCTTTACCTGATATAAAATGAGTATAGTCCACACTCATTACCAGACTGCCAGGCTCTGCCTGACTCACCTCTGCATTTCTAAAAGGCTATTTTGTGCTGTGCCTGTAATATAGCACTCAATAAGTGGTAGGTATCATCACCATCATCACCATCACCATCACCATCATCATCATCATCATCATTATCACCATCCCCTCAGCATCACTGTCGTGACCATCATCATTCTCTCCCCTCCAGTTCTAGAGGAATTGCAGGAAAGGCCTAACAGAGGACAATGCAGTCACTCTAAAAACAAATCACAAGCCACTGAAGATAAAATGGGAAACAGATGTGGCAAAAAATCTAGGCTAAGTATTGAAGGTAATTGAGTATTAAATGCTGATTTTTAGTTGCCAAAACAAAGAAGAAATAGGGCTGAAGGTGCCTCATTAGCGTAAACAAGCAAGCTCAGGAGAGAACTCGGTTCCGAACACCGACTGCCTGAAAGAGCTGCAAACTGGGTGTGGAACTCGGGGGCATCTAGGAAGCCCTTGCCACTCATCTGCCATCCCAGGGCCATCTAATCTTCTGCTTCAGACACCAGACATTGTCTCCAAAATGCAGATTGGTGGCACTTCTTTACTTGAGAGCTTTCATCAGTGGGAATGGGAACTGAGAGGGTGTACAAGGGAGCTCAGGAGATGAAGGAAACATTCTAAAAATGGGTGATGGTGGTGAATGCAGAACACAGTAGCTTTTACTTAGAAAAGGCACTAGAGTGCACACTTAAACACATGTCAATTCCGTGATATGGAAATTTTAACTGATGATGTTTTTTAAGAAAATTTCTCAATAATTTTGACTAACACCTTTCTAGAGTTGTACCCCTGCAAACACTCCGTGGAATTGTGTGAGTCTGTACCATTTGTCTTCATCCACAGTGAGATAAATAGGACAAGTAAGAACAGGGTTCCAGGCAGACATAACAATCTAGCATCACAACGACATAGTTTAGTGTGTCTTATAAAAGTATTGGTCAGCAATCAATCAGGAAAGCGTGGTCCTTTCTTCCCAACCAAAGCACTGCTCTAAGACGGGCCTGTTAGCCTGGCCTCCAAACCCCCATGACCTACATGCTCTGTGAGTTAGTTTCCCTGTATGTCTCTTCTGCAAGACATCCTTAAAGGACTTAGTTTCTGCTGGGCATGATTACGTACATCTGAATTCCAGCACTTGGGAGGCTGAGGCAAGAGGATTGATATAAGTTCAAGGCCAGCCAGGGACGTTTTGTGAGTTCCAGGATACGCTGGACTATAGTGCGAGACCCTGTCCCAAAATGAGGGTGGGTGGGAGGACAACCACCCAAAACAAACAATAGTAAGAAAACCAAAAAGAAAGAAAAAAAAGAAAACGTAGATTCCAAATTCCTCAAAAATCTCTCACTCTCTCATGCTCTGTGTCCTGCATGAGCCTCTTTCCCAAATATTTCAAATGTCTTCCCCTCCCTTTCCAATCTATTTGAATCCAACCTTCCAAATAGGGCCCAGCTGTCTTCTCACCTTAGACACTACCCTATTGCCCCATCAACCAAATAACCTCTACCCGACTAGTCACCTTACCTCTCCTGACCTCAACCTTACCACGTGTGGAATTCAGTCGTTAGTTTACAAGAGACTCCAGTGTCTGCATGTCTCCACTCCACATGACCCCTGCTATGCTGCCACTGTTTATCTACACATCGGTCCCCTCCTGATGACCTCCAGGGAGGCAGGGGCTAGGCTGGGTCCCCTCTGCATCCCTAGAAAGGGGTCTTCAGCATGAGTTGAATGAGTAAACAAATAAGGTCCTTTCTAGATCTACCCACTCTAGGAAAGTTAAGGGGGATGAAGATACATAAGCGTTAGCTACTAGAAAGAGAGAACGGTTAAGTGTCATACCTGGTAGAAATGAGGCCAGAAGGTGCTGATGGCTAGCTCCGCCTTCACCCAGCCCTCGGTGACAACCCCAGACACGTTCCAGACAGGGTTCCCTTGGGGACCACCGTTCACCTTCACGTAGACATTCAAGGCTCCCGGGCTGGAGCGATCTCGGCTGGAGAAGTAGTAGTGGAAGTCAATGCAGTGGGTGTCATTCTCCTTCAGGGTCGGCAGAAGAAGATGCGCTTTCTGGCCAGAAGCCCTTCCGGAGCTGTTCACCATCATGAAGGAGCCTAGAGACCCACAGTGGGTAGCAGACAGAGACAAAGAGAGAAAATGCCCTTCTGAAAACATGTCACACCCATACATGGTACCTAATAGGGAGGCTGGAAATGAAGTCCCATTTTAGAAACAGGTTAGGGTGACTGAGAAAGTCACATCCCTTCTCAGAGTTCTGAGAAGGATTTCCATAACTGGGGCTAAAATCCCTCTTCATGGTGGCATTGGAAGAATGAGGAGATCAGGAATCAGTGGTCCTATACAGGGAGCATTTCTACCTGGTAGATTGCATATCTCTAAGTGCAGAACCTTAAAGGAGGAAACGGATTAAAAACCTCAGAAGGGAGTCAACCACAGTCCCTACAGGTAACATGGGATGGGAAATAACCTCACCTAAGATGGGGCTTGTCCCAGCCAAGGCAGAAACTCTATAATATGGGAGGGTCCTGTATATGGACAGACTCCATCTGCACTCAGCATGGGAGACTCCATATTAAAGGAGACAATATACAAATAGAGATTATCTGTGGAAGAAATATAGCTCCCCCCAAAAGTATGAGAACCAATTCTAAGATACTCGAGGAGGAATGCGAAGTGAGTGGCACTCTATGCACTTGGAGACTCATATTAACTCACATTAACAGTAGGTATCTACTGGTAGAACATATAACTCCTTCTAATAACTATAACTGCCTCTAAGAAAATTAGAAAACAACCTTCCTCAAGACCCATGTTTGGGTATATATCCAAAGGATGCTCAATCATGCTACAAAAAATGTGCTCACCTATGTTCTTAGCAGCTTTGTTTGTCATAGCCAGAACCTGGAAACAACCTAAATGCCCCTTGATCAAAGAATGGATAAGGAAAATGTGGTACATTTACACAATGGAGTACTACACAGCAGAAAAAAAATATAACGACATCTTGAATTTTGAAGGCAAATGGATGGAGCTAGAAAACATTATTTTAAGTGAGGTAACCTGTAATATGAGGGGCGGGCTTGTTGGGGTTTCCGTCCCACCCGGTACCCCAAAGCTGGCATACCCCAAGGAAAAATCACACACAGGACTCCATAAGGTTATAAACTGATTGGCCCATTAGGTCAGGCTTCTTGTTAGTTCTTATGACTTATCTTAACCCATTATTCTGATCTATGTTATCCATACAGCTCTGTACCTTTCTCAGCTGGGCAAATTACATGCTGCCTCCTCGGTGGTCTGCGCAGGAGTGGCTGAGGAAGTTTCCTCCTCCCTAGCCTTCTCCTATTCTCATTGCCCTGTCTCCACTTCTTGTCTGGTTGACCCACCTATATTTCCTGCCTGGCCAATCAGCGTTTTATTAAAATATGATCGACAGAATACAGATAATTCTCCCACACCATTTCCCTCTTTTTTTAAAAAAAAAAAAACAAAGGAAAATACCCATAGTCCATTTGTTGGGAATGTGGGCGTAGTATTTCAGGCTACTTCCTGCTGGTTGGGGGCGCTGATAATCTTATGGGGACCTAAAGAAAATATAGAATTATCATCAAGTCCTGACTAGAGTATCCTGTGAGTCTTGATCATCTCAGGCAGCAGTCTTGAACCTGTTCTGGATGAAGAACTCAGACATCTGGGCCATCTGTTCCTGTCGGAGATTTCTCAGGTGGTCTTCCTTGATCATACTGGATTTTTATTAACTCAGAATGAATCCACAACCTCTCACTTTCTGTGGAAACAAAAGCAAAATCTCTTCTCCAAAGTAACATACCTGTTGACTTCAGTTTTGAAAATACCTTGACTTCTAAATTTGGATCTAAGGATATGATACTTTGGAAAGGATGTTCTTCTTTTGTTTTCACAGAGGATGAGACCCTGTGGATTGCTTCTATCCCAATATGGTATGATAGACCACACCCTCCTGAAAGGTTGCTGTGAACACCCTCAAAAAATTACTTCACTCAACTGCCAACTGAGATGAACCTGGCAGACAGGTTTTACCATGAAAGACCTGATTAACAGCGCCCCTATACAGCAGAAAGAAGTTTGGAGAGAAATAAACTATGTCCATATTCCCAAATATTGTTTATAAATGTTCTTTTACATTTAAAGGGGATATGCTATAGATATGAATAATTTCATTGGTATAGATTTTAAGGTCAATTTTGTTATATGTATATATATTTCTGATCTTGACTGATGTATTGTGATTGTGTAGTTCATTTTAAAAATGTAATGTATAATTAGAAAATATAGGTTGTTAATGGATAATTATCAATAATAGTCAAGCTTGTAGTAATATTAGTTTGGTTTTCTAGAGGTGCATAGATATATTTCAGATAGACATTCATATCTTTCAAAGACTACAGAACATGGCATTTAATGTTTTAATAACTTAGGACTTTTCATGACAATGAGACATGTCTGCTCCTGGCAGCACCAATCTACTTCAAGAGGAAGATGGGCATCGAAGAGGCTCCTTATGGAGTTGGTTAGCCATTTGGGCAAGAAACTGCTCTTGCCTGGACTGTTATATAAACTGGACACAGAGAACCCGCAGAGAGAGGACTGCTGAACTTGCCTAAAGGTGAGATGATCTTTCGGAGTTCCTGATTCATGAAAGAGTCTGCGAGACATTCTGCAGGACACAGCAGATAGTGACTGAACTGTCTTTGAAATTTCCTGCTTCATGGAAATGTCTCTGGATACTATGGGCCTGTAGGCTGAAGACAGATACCCCAATGATACAGAGGGACTTTGGGTGACTGTCCAGGCAGCAAGATGTCTCTGTCATTTCTAGAGTTTTGGAAGTTGCTTAATTCTTGTTTACTTAGGTAATATTATATCCTTCTGGAGTCTTTGATGGAGTTGAAGAATGGATAGTCATAGTTATAGTTTTCCATTATTATGATAAAGATATAGTTATAAATATTGTGACTATAATTCTTGCTTGATAACTGTTTTGTTATATGTAATTTTACTATGTTAAAATGAAAGCCTTTCTTTTTTGTTTAAACAGAAAAAGGGGAAATGATGGAGGAGGGTTATCTGTCTATTGTGTTATTTTCATTGGTCAATAAAGAGACTACCTTGGCCCCTTGATAGGACAGAAAATTAGGTAGGCGGAGAAAACAACAGAATGCTGGGAAGAGGGCTATGGGGCAGACGCCATGGAGCCAGCCACCAGGTCAGACATGCTGAATCTTTTCCGGTAAGCCACCACCTCGTGATGCTATACAGATTATTAGAGATGGGTTAATCAAGATGTGAGAGTTAGCCAGTAACTAACTCTCTAGAGATAATGGGCCAGGCAGTGTTTAAATGAATACAATTTGTGTGTTGTTATTTCCAGGGCTAAGCTAGCCATGTGGGAGCCGGGCAGGACAAAAAGCAGGCCTGCCAGCAACCCTCACTATAGTAACCCAGAAACAGAAAGACAATTATCACAGGTACTCACCAATAGGTGGTTTTTAAACATAAAGCAAAGTAAACCAGCCCACAAATCACAATCCCAGAGAACCCAGACAACAATGAGGACCCTAAAAGAGACATGCATAGCTCTAAACTACATGGGAAATAGAAAAAGACAAGATCTCCTGAGTAAATGGGGAGCATGAGGACCTTGGAAGAGGGTTGAAGGGGAGAGGAGAGGCAGAGAGTGGAGCAGAGAAAAATGTAGAGCTCAATAAAATTTAAAAAAAAATCAAAGGCTGTGTCATAGACCTGAGCGAGCCTCTTTCCAGCTGCCAGGATGGATAGAAATTGTCTCCTGTTCTATATCCCTCTCTGGATCCAAGTCCTTTGGCACAGACTTTACTGTCCCCTCTGTGGAACGAGAGGCTATCACTTGACACCGGGCTCCATTATGTGACTTGTTAATAGAAGCCACACAGGTGTTAAAAGGTGCCAGTCTAGACAGGCTTGTCTCCTGTCACCACTATTTTGGTGATAAGAAGCTGATGTCAAGATCAAGAATTAACATACACAGGAAGTTCACGACTGAAGAGCCAAGCCCCACCCTTTGAAAGCAAGGAGCACAGCCATGTGGCCAACATATCTAGCCCACATCAGTCAACCTGCAGTCGATGCATGGATCTGCGAGTATAAGAATCAATGCTCACTGCTGTTTGCCACTGCTTTCCTCCCGAGTGTCCCCACAACATTGCTGTGACAGTGGCTAATTGATAAAGCTCCCCAAGAACAAGAGAACAAGATTCGGATCCATCACAATGAAGAGGCACATCTCATTATGCAACAGATTTTTATAACAAGGGAAATTTGTGCAAAATGGAATCAACTGCCCAGGGGCAAAGCGAGTCACTGCAGGTGGCTCCTCAAAGGCGGCACCAACTGGGATATCAAAGAGAATTTCACAACTGAGGAGGAAGGCTGAACTCCACAACTTACAAGTCTTATGGTTCTCCTGAATAAAACGCATCATAAAACACAGTAGATAAACTCCACTAATGCTGGGATAAATGCTTTCTATTCTGAAAACCAGAATTGCTTTGAAACCTTATTGTGACCACTAAAATCTTCATTCTGAATGAAATCTTAAGACCCCTTATCCCCAGGCAAAATGAGCTGCTTCAGTAGCCATAACTCCCCTCGCTCACCCTGATACCAGAAAGACTAAGGAGCTGCAAGGTAATAAGGCTGCGCCATCCATATCTTGTTGGGGTTTTAGACAGTACAAACCATTTGCACCTTGTCTCCTGGGTTCTGAACAAATTTACAAGTGGACACAGAAGGGAGATTATATTTAAAACCTCTATACAATCGTCCACAAAGCTGGATTAAAGAAAATATCAGTCTTGAAGATAAATTAGGCTTCAACCGCTCCCCACATTCAAACATAAAAAAAAATAACCAGATGCCTTGGAATCAACCCTAACTCAATCCAGATTCCTAGGGGGAATGCTATTCTTCAGGGAGATGACTGGGGGCATTAGAATAAGCTCATATTAAAATAAACAAACAAAAGACTCAACAAGGAAGCCAAATAACAAGAACAGAGAAAACTGCAGTCAGATTT